GTTTATAAAAGCAACAATTATAACAGCCAAAATATGGAAATGACCCAAATGACCATCAACAGATGCATGGATAAGCAAAATGTGATATATCCATACAGCAGAGTATTATTCTGCCGGAGGAAGGAATGAAGCTCTGATACATACTACAGTGCAGATGAACCTCGGAAACATTATGCTAACTGAAAGAAGGCAGTCACAAAAGGCCACATATTATGTGATTCCATTGATATGAAATCTCCAGAACAGGAAAAGTTCATGGAGACAGAAAGTAGATCAGTGGTTTCCAGAGGCCAGAAAGAGGGAAAATCCAGGAGTGACTATTAATGGGTATGGAGTTTTTATCTGGGATGCTGAAAATAATCTGGAATTAAATAGTAGTGATGGTAGCACAACTTTGTAACTATACTAAAACCATGGAATTGTATACTTCAAAGGAGTGAATTTTATTGGATGTTAATTATACCTCAATTTAAAACTACATAGGAAAATGAGATTGATAACAGTGACTTTTCTTTTTTAATAATTAACAAAATGGATTCAATTAATCTAAAAGATCAGTCATGAAGGTGTTTTTAGGTCCTGATAATATTAATCACAGTCATTTTCCTATAAACTAAGAGAACCAGATGGGCAAAGCAGAATATATTAAAAGCAATACCACAGGAAACAAGCTATTACTTGAACCAGCTAACAAGAAAGGAAGAGGACACAAAAAATGTCCTCCCCAAAGACCAACTGGCCCTGATGGATTCACTGATAAATTATTCTAAACTTGCAAATAGAAAATAATCTACGTATACAGTAATGAAAATAAGGAACCCCTCCCAAAGACCTAGTAGGATTCTTCTCAAATAAACCAGATATATTGAGTTACCGCAATATACACTCACAGGCATTTATAAATTTAACTGTCTACTTCTAATGAAATGTTTTCAGTTCAATATTTTAGGACAGGGAAAGGCAGTCTTTTTATTAAACCATAATCTACCACCTTCTGAAGCTCCCTGACACGCCTGAGCTCTTACAGTTCCTACTGCCCAGGAGCCCTAGTCTGGCCTTGACCGTTCGAAGGCCTCCTCTAAATTAGGTACTCCTGAACTAGCAAGTCTGACTGCATCTTGCCTCTGCTTAAAACACTCTGCAACTCAGCCATAAAAAAAAGAACAAAATAATGCCATTTGCAGCAACATAGATGAACCGAAAGACTGTCATACTGAGTGAAGTAAGCCAGACACAGAAAGACAAACATCATGTTACCACTTATATATGAAATCTAAAAAAAAAAAAAGGGTACAGACTTCCCTGGTAGTACAGTGGTTAAGACTCTGTATTCCCAATACAGGAAGCCCAGGTTCAATCCCTGGGTGGGGAAAACAAGATTCCAAATTCCACACTGATGCCAAAAAAGTGGGGGGAAATAAATCAATAAAAAATAAGGGATACAAATGAATTCATTTACAAAACAGAAGTAAAGTCATGGATAGAAAACAAACTTATGGTTAACAGGTGATAAGGTGGGGGGGGATAAATTGGAAGACTGGGACTAACATATATACAATACTATATATATAATAAATAATAAGAACCTGCTGTGGGAAGGGGGTTCAGGAGGGAGGGGACTCATGCATGCTTATGGCCGATTCATGCTGATATATGGCAAAAACCATCAATACTATAAATTAATTATTCTCCAATTAAAATAAATTAATTAAAAAAAAACAACCCTGCTGTATAGCACAGAGAACTCTACTCAGCACTCTGTAATGGCCTATATGGGAAAAGAATCTAAAAAAAAAAAGGAGTGGCTACATGTACAACTGATTCACTGTGCTATACACCTGAAACTAACACACCACTGTTCATCAACTACACTCCAATAAAAACAAAAAAAAATAGTCCTGCAGCACCTACAGCTTATATATATAAAAGTCTAGGCTCCTTGCCATAGTAATAAGACTCTTCCCTCAGCTGGCTCTTCCTGACTGTTCCCAGGAAACCAGCCCATCACAGCAGACAACTTAAGAGATCCACTCACAGGCCCCATAGTATCACTGCCCAAAACCATCTGGCAAACTCCTATTTGCTTCTAAATGCTAGGGTGAAATAGCACTTCACACTGTTGTGGAACCAAAACCATCCCTACCACCACTCTCCACTAAGTACACCTGTATCTATCAAGAGATACATCACCCCTCTAAGATCTCATCTGGAGTTAACACCAAAGTCTCAAATTCTAGACACAGCTAAGGCCGCCACCTTCGCTCCCCTCCCACCAATCATACATCTGAACGGTCCAAATGGCCTTCATCTCAACCAACGGCCTCTTAGAAATGAGATGCATCTGGCAGGAAGGTTTTAACTGCTATCATCCTCCATCTCTCACTTCACCACCAAAGTACATGAAAGTAGTTTCAGGCATAACCATTTTTGAATGATGATACTTCTGGTTTTGGAGAACGTATGCTCATCACATACACACAAACACACACACACAAAGTGACCCCAGAACATGGAAAGCACCAAAGGGGATTCTGATCTTCCAAATGCAGCACTGAGGTGAACAGTGGCAGGCCCCCATCATTCCTGAGAAGCAAGGGAGTGTCTCCCCTCTGTCCCTACATCTGTCCTGTGCTAGGTCTACCCAGCCACTCAGCCAGTCCTGTATCCAGGAAAGTCAGAGGCACCCACCATTCCTAGGGTGAATCCCTACCTAGATGCGACCTGATTCCTAGTTTCCGCCTTACGGGATAATCAGGGAGATGACCAGATATGGTAGGAAGGAAAACCCTCGGGAGCTGGCAGGCAGAGTGAAAACAAAGACAGGTGCCACATGCATAGAACACCGAGGCTCCTCTCTCTTGCCAAAAGACAGATGCACCAGTGAGGATGTAAACAAGGCGCTAGCTCTCCTGATGTGTTAGTGTGGGAATTAACACCTTATCCACTGTCCCTAAGCCCCTTCTCACTACAGTCACCTCCAGCACCCAGGCAGAGTCTGACTTCACAACAATATTGCATTAACAATGTCAAAGCATGTGACCCTCAGCTGACCTCTAAGCAGCCCAGAGGGGTCAAAAGCCCCATCTTATGAACAAGACAAAGAGACTAAGCCAGCTCCACACAGCTCCATCTCAGTTTCAAGTCCGTTCAGGCGGCCCGAGGACCCCTTCTAACCTCATATGCTCCACTCCATGGATCCTGAAACCAATGGCCATGTGAAAACGGTTCTTACTAAAGAAGGATGAACGTATGGAACCCGGAATACCATGTTTTGCACATGGTAAAGGACCGCATCCCGAGACCAGCTAAAAGATAGGCATGAGGACTTCTTGATGAAGGGGCTTTTGGTTATTTTATTTATTTTTAAAACATAATATATTCATAAGAAAGAATATTTGAAAGTTTCAAAAGGGAAAAATTTTCTTCCCAGTCCTCTCCCCAGTCACCCTGATTCAAGGGACAGCCGATATTTTAAGTTTTTCTTTAACTTTCCAAAGATATTCTATGCATGTGCAAACAGATATAGTGATGCACATTTTCCCTTTTTTTTTTAAACATTTGGTAGCATAATATACATTGTTCTATGCCTTATATTTTTTCACTTAACAATACATCCCAGAGATACTCCAAAGCAGCACCTGAAGAGGCTCCTCATTCTTCTCATGGCTGCACAGTGTTCCTTCACATAGATTAACAAAAATTCATTTAACCAATGTTCAGAATTGCTTAAAGTCCCACTCAATAACAGATTAGAGTAGTTATTTTTGTGTAATAAACCTACAAAAGCCTCTTTTCTCCACAACCAAAGCCATGCAAAAGTTCAAGAGCACATTTAGTGCAAGACAAAGATTAAGAATCAGTTTACCCTTGACGGGAAATTATCTTTCTAAGCTCCCTGTTCACAAAGAGGCAGAGCTATGAACACTGTAGATATATCTAGTCGGCCAAGGCTAGAATAACAAACATCACAGCTGCACACTGCACAAAGAGGCCAAACATGCCACACACATTCTGATTAATAACTAAAGGCCAGTTTTGCTCAGATTGAAGCCAATTTTTTTTAAAAAGTCAGATTCCTGCAATTGTAATCAATCTTGAGCAAGTCAAGATTTCTACTGCTTGAAAGGAGTCAATTAGGAAAAAAAAGCCTGAGTGATATTAAACATGGATTGGAAAAAAACCGGACGGTTTAAATGGTGTTCCCTCTGTGGAAAAAGCCAGCTGCCTTCTTTGCATTAGAGGCACAAAAACTAGAGAGGGCCTGGGCAAAAACATAGGGACTTTGTCTGCCTACCTGACAGAGTCAGGGTAGTGTGCACCTTGTCACTTAGGCCACTCAAGTGACAAATGAATTTGGGACCATCTTCTAGAATCTACTAGCTTCTGGTAGAGGCTTTTGTCCTCTCAACTGTGCCTAGCCCAGGCCTGGGCATGAGCTGCTGGGCAGAAAACAACTGGAAGGGCGCCTGGGTGGTTGAGGAGGTCCACTGGCAGGGCCCAGAGAGCTCCTTTATAAATCTGAGGTTGCTGACTGTAAGCCTAAGTCTCATGCACATCCTACTTATTAAGACACTGCCTCAACTGTCTTCCACGTGGGAGGTCCCTTAAGGCTTTGGCCACTAACATGGTAAAGTAAAAACAGGACCAAGGTTGATGGCAGCCTTCCTCTCCAAAATGCCAGAGTCCCAGACTGGTCAGGCAAAAGCCAATGGGAATGAGGGCTACCGAGGCGTATCCCTACAGGGAGCAAGCTCAGGTCGCTTGGTACTGACTGTAAACAGTTCAAATTCCATGAAGGACAATCACTTGCCAGTTCATTTTTGGAATGGAAGCCCATGCCATCCAGGCCCAGTGGCTACCTTTTAGGATCCTCCACCCAATGGCTTGGCGGGTAGGCAGCCAGCAAACAAAGTCCTCTCCAGCTGCTGGCTGCCACCATGACTCTCATCACAGAATGGATCAAGAGACCAGAACAAATGTTCTCTTAGCCAGTGACTCACCAGGAAGTCTGTTCATGTTGACGCCTTGAGCTGAGAGTCCTATTCCCATGTACCTTTGAAAAAGCACACAAACATTTTGGTTAGCAAATGGTTATGCATCTCCCTTCTCAAATATTTCTTGGTAAACGAAAACCAGGAAAAGCAATGAATGCAGAGACTCCTTTAACACACTAGTGGATCTTGGAGAACTTTTGTATTTTGATTTTCTAATAGAAATCTCTCAATGCCTTAAGCAGCTGGAAAAACAGGAGGTAGTGTCTACAACCAGGAATCACTGGCTTCAGTTTCAGAGGAAAGTTTCCTGGAATCACTGCTTCCCGTCCTTTGGCTTCTACCTCCTAGCTAAGGCGGCAGAATCTATTCCCAAGAAGTACCTAAAGTAAGTAGTTCATTCCTACAAGTGTTTGGCAGAATAAAGCAAGATTAAGCCACAGGGACAAGCCCCTCTTCAGCAAGAACCAAAATATGGAAAACATACAGCCAGCTGGATCCATATAGAGCCATAAAGACCCCTCACACAGGGTTTCTTCTCTGAGGCCTCCAAATTAACGACCCTTGCCCCAGACATTCACCACTGGCCTCTTTAATCATCCCAAGCTGAAGGTGATAGTGTGTGAGGCCCCGGAGACCTACCCTCTACTCCTTCCACCCAGGAACCTAAACAACTAAGGCAGCCACAACCAGGTGGGACCCGTGCTGGGCAACTCTGTCAAAGATATCTCAGTTGCACTCATGAGGGGGAACGTCAGAAAAGGGAATGAACAGGATTTTTTTAGTCTATATACTTGTAGTATACAAAGACACAGTAAGGTATTTCCCCAAGAACTCAGAAACTAGAGAAACAAGTCACCACCATCTAAGTGTAAAATACTAGAAACCCACACACGATGCCTGATGTTAACCACACATGAGCATCAAGATGTAGCTGAGACAATCACAACAGTGAAAACACCAACCAAGATGGCTAAGGTGTAACTTCTGGTTGCATAACAATGTGAGTATACTTAATGCCACTGAATTGTTCACTTAAAAATAATTAAAATGGTAAAATTTATGTGATGCATACTTTACCACAATAAAAATGTTTTTCTTTTAAAGCAATCACATGGGGTTGCCTTATTTTGACTATTTCCAAGTAGCTGGAAATTATATTCCAACTGCTCCCTGTTGTAATTGTGCAAGGAACCAGCTCACATACGTTTCTCCATCTTGGACTCTTCTTTTCCTCTCCCAGCATGTTCCATGAACCATATGGACCAGTATCCTAACACTACCAGAGTCCCCGCCACATGGTGCTCCAGAACCTGTGAGCCTTCCATCTGCAGTAAGTGGCCCTTTGCCCTTCTCTGGCTGGCTGCAACAATGGGTGGTGAAGGAGCAGGAAGGAAGGCTCTAACCTACCCACTTTCCCCTGAAACCAGCTTTCGCATCTTTGTGGGCAGAACCCAGGAAAGACACCAATCAACACATGGCCCTAATAACTGGCCTGCAAGGGTTAGGGTAAAGGAGAGGGAAGGGAAAAGAGAAAAGGAGAAGGAACAACACCTCAAAGAAAGGCTTCTATGGTTCAAAAGGATTGAGACCCTCAAACTGCCTGCTACTTCTTGCCAGAAGGAGACCTTCGATGACCATCAAGAGCAAAAGCTGTGTAAGCCTGCTGGCAGGATTCCCATTAGGCTAGAACCTGCACATTTTCCCAGAAAAATAGCAGCCCAAATAATCAGCTTCCTGACTTTACCTGGGAGAGGCTGCCAAGAGTTGGTCTCCATTCCCTTTATGCCATCGCTGACCAAACAGCAAATGACCCCGACTGCCCTGCAGTCATCAATCAACATATGCAAGTGCAATAGAGCCAGGAGTTTGGAGTTTTCCTAACTTGGATGCCAGGTCACTTATCCTGCCCTGTTTTAGAGCCCAACACCACATGCGATCCCACCCCTCACATACAGGTTTCCTGACACTAAGATGAAGGCGTATGTGTTTGAAGCACACATGCTTCCTGGGTGACCCGACTGCTTAGGGCTACTGCAAATAGGGGAGGTCAAGGGTCATCCAGGGAAAGTATGCTTGGCCACCAGCAACAGAGCTCTGGTTCCACAACTTCCCAAGAGAACAGGGAAGGCACATGCACTCAAACACAAGTTGCTTAGGTCTCTCGACAGGAGAAGCCTCTTCCACCTCCGGCAGCTACCCCTCAACACCTTCTTATAGACTCTACCCCACAGCTGGGGCAGTTTACCAGCGGATGGCCTGGGAGCCTCTGTACAAACCCCAGGGTCATCTTGAGAATCTGAGTAGGTAAGCTAAGGGTAGAGCACCTGGAAGAGACCAGTCTCCACACTTGAATGTCATGCCCCTGTGAGTGTCACTGATACAGGGAGCAGCCCCACAGGACCCTAACTTGAAATGTTCATATGAAGTCAAGCTAAGTCAGAGCTCAAAGGGAATGAGTCTCAACTCTTCAAACACTGTGTGACATTAAGTCTTTCCAAAAGTATGATGTCTTAAAATTTCAAAAACATGCAGCCTTCAAGCAAGTACTCATACACTTGAAAACTGTTATCCAACCAGTTTAAGATAAGCAAAGAGGGGGGAAAAAACTATAAGGACACTAAAAAACACTGAATTGTACACTGTAAGTGAGGGGGCTGTATGGTATTCTCAAACACTCAACAAACTATGCATAAAAGGAAACAATCTCAACATAATAAAAAGTCTTATATGAGAAAACCACAGCTAATATCGTATTCAATGATAAAAGACTGAAGACTTTTCTTCTAATATCAGGAACAGGAAAGGTGCCTGCTTTCGCCACTTCTATTCAACAGAATATCAAAAGTTCTAGCTAAAGCAATTAGACAAGAGAAAGAAATAAAAAGCGTCCAAATTGGAAAGGAATGGGTAAAACTATCTCTGTTCACAGATGACATGATTCTATATGAAGAAAATTCTAGATTCCACAAAAAACTGTTAAAACAAATTCAGCAGTTTCAGGATACAAAAACAACACATAAAAAGCAGCTGTGTTCAACATACTAGCACTGAACAATCAAAAAAGGAGGAGAAAAAATAATTCCACTTACAATAGCATCAAAAGAATAAAATACTTAGGAATTAACTTTGCCAAGATGGCAAAAAGCTTATACACTAAAACCCCTAAAATGCTGCTGAAATTTAAAAATACACAAATAGTGAGCTCCTTGGCAGTCCAGTGACCAGTAGGACTTAGCCTTTTTGCTATAGGGGGGCTGGGCTCACTCCCTAGTTGGGGAACTAAGATCCCACAGGCACGTGGCATGGCCGAAAAATACATTTTTTAAACTTAAATAAATGAATAAACATAAAAAGACACAAATGGAAAAACATCTGCCCATACAGGGATTGGAAGACAATATTGTTATGATGTCAGTACTACCCAAAGCAATATACAGAATCAATGCCATACATTGAGGGTGTAAAAAAAAAGTTAGAATCATATTTTTTTATTTCAAAACTTACTAGAAAGCTACAATAATCAAAACAGTGTCGGTACTGGCATAAAGATAGTACGGTGGATGACTACGCAACCCTAGTGTCCAGTTCATGCACTGTGGGCTCTTCGAGCACTGTAATCTGGTAAAGAAAAGCAGGCCATCCTCGAAGGCCTGGATCTTGGGACATCTAAAAAGGAATGCCTGTTTTACACGGAATTACCAAGGAGAAAGGAGGTGAGCATTTGCTTCCTTCTTGGTGAAAGGTCAGGCAATGCTAGGAACACTCACAGACACAGGCTGCCAAGGTCTCCTGGGAGGCAAGAGGGGCTCTCGCTCCCCAAGCCAGTGACTAGAATAGACAGAGCTTAGCTCCTTGACAGTTCACATGCCCACCAGGGCTTTCTTTTCAAGCAGCAGGATACATCTGAGGAACTTGCAGGAAAAGTTATTTACCTCATAAAACAACTGAAAGTAAGCTAAATCCATCTGATTTTCTCCTTTCTTCCAATTCAGCAGCGCAATGAAGAATATCATGTGTCTATCATATTAGACAGCCAATAAGTACAGAGAGACAACCGACAAGCTACCGTGGCAGGGAGGCCATCAGTCGGCCTCCACCTTCTCAGTCTCTATCCTTTACCGCAAAAAAACATGTGAGCCTGAAGAGTGACTGCCTCTCTGTCAGGCTCCAGAGAAGAGGGCACCAAGTGGCCCAGCTTGGGCCAAGCTGGGTGGGGGTCCACCGGAGAGCAGGCAGAGGAGGCACGGTGGCAGCCGTGGCCCTTGCAGACCACCGCCAGGCCCGCCCCGAGGCAGCAGAGGTAAACTAGGGCCCTCGAGATGACCAGCCTTGAGAACGGACTGGTGCTTTCTGGGGCCTGTGCTGCCCTCCACCCGCTCTGCTGACTCTCCCACAAAAGCAACAGTTCACTGGATCCACTGCAGTCATGGGGAGAGTCGCAAGCATACTCCAGGCGGCTTGCATTCTTCTCCTTTCTCTTCAGTTTTCCAGATTTTCTACAATTAGCATAAATTACCTTGAGAGTCATAGAAAAAGTCATTTTCAAGAACCAGCTGATGGCTGCACACTGAGGAGGTTGCTGGCTCTCAGCCATCAGACTCTCCCTGCGCTGTCCCAGCACAACATTTCAATACCAGGGAGACACAACGGGGGCCTGGGCCTTCGTGTCAGCTCCTCCGTATTCTTACTTCCCTGAACCTTGACAGGAGAGTGGAAACTGCATGAGAAGAGCACACCCGCAGAAACAGCCGAAAAGCGTCCAACTCCATGCTCAGCAGAGAGCTGGGGCTCCGGCTCACACGGCCCCTGGTGCATCCTAAGCACCTCCCAGAGCACTCCCTCAGGAGACCCCGTGGACACAGTGACAGCCTCAGCACAGCTCTCACCCACTGGAGGCTCTTCCATGAGCCAGGCAAGCCTGGGGGTGGACAAAGGACAGGACCTTAGAAAGCAGGCCTCTGGACTCTCACAGCCTCTGGAGATGTACAACAAGGCCTGGAGGGAGGAGACCACCCTTTGCTGCAAGCCCCCACCCAGACAGGAAAGACAGCTTGGAGCA